GTTGCGGGCACATCCCCAGTTGGGGGTGTGCAGGAGGCAGCTGATGGATGCTTCTCTCTCATCGATGTTTCTAACTCTCTATCCCTCTCCTTTCCTCTCTGTAAAAAAATCAATAAAATATATTTTTTTAAAAAAATGAGTTCGCGTGTCTCGCCATCATTGGTCTAGGGGATTAGATTTCCTGCACTTGCCTTCTATTGGCTCTTTCAAAAAACACCAGCCAATCTCCTGTTGCCCTCATCTCCTCACTGTTAGTTCCCGCTCTTGGGTTCAGGGGCCGGGCAGCTCTGTGGCTGACTGGTACATTCTGCCTGTCTTGCTCACATCCTGACCATCGGCCCATCTCCTCCTTATCTACCATCTTCCCTCCCCGAGGCCCTTACCCTAAACTGCCTGATCCCATCGAATCCTCAGCCCATGTATTTTCTCCCACAATTTTTATTATACAGCTTTACATGGAAGCCTTCAGTACACCTGGAGCTTGTTTTTGTGTATGCTATGAAGGAGAGGTGCAGGGGTCTTTATGGAACACGTGTTCCCAGCCACTCTATCAGTCTCCATTTAGACCGAACTATTTTTTTAAAAAGGCCTTTGTTATTGAGGTATCACATGAATAGATTGATTGAGATTCGACCCCAGAAAATACTAGGTTCGCTGCTCCCCACTGTCTCCTCTCCTCCTCAGGTTCCCCTGTAATTGTCACTGCACCCCCCCTCCCTTTTTATCGTAGAAAATCTTGAAAATGCAAAATGGCTCCTCAGAAAATCAGAACAGGAAAGCATTTGTTTTTTTTTTTTGGTTGAAGTGGGCTGCCTTTTGATGCGTCCTTTCTCGTGTGAAGGCATTGTCCTTGGCGTCTTAGGCTTAAGAGCTACTTTATGAGACGTGGATGCTGAATGTTTTCAAATGCATTTTCAGCAGCTTGAGTGTACACGCGGCTCAGGACCAGAGGACATGAAGGCCCAAGCCCTGCAGTGAAGCCCAAGCCTGTGCCTCCACGCTTCTCCCCTGGCTCCGTCCTCTCACCTTTACCTGGTTGCTGCTTTTCTGTCCCCTTCTTTGGAGTGGGCTGTCTGCTGGGCTTCATGCTGCCTTGACCCCTAGACGCCACCTTTGGGACACCCTCTGTCAGTCCACACCCAGTCTGGAACCCTGGCCTCTGCTGTTTAGGAAGTTAAGTTCCAACATCTATTGAAATGATCACATGGGTTTTTCTAATGTGACCTATTGAGATGATGGGTTATATTTTTAAAATAACTTTTATATATTAAAACCTTTTTGAAACCCTTAGAGTACATGTAACTTGGTCATAGTAGATTTTTTTTTTAATTGTAGTATAGGTTGAATTGGACTTGCTAGTATTTTCTTAAAAAATATTTTTTTATTGATTTCAGAGAGGAAGGGAGAGGGAGAAAGTCAGAAACATCAATGATGAGAGAGAATCATTGATTGGCCGCCTCCTGCACACCCCCTACTGGGGATCGAGCCTGCAACCCGGGCATGTGCCCTTGACCAGAATCAAACCCGGGACCCTTCAGTCCGCAGGCCAACGCTCTATCCACGAAGCCAAACCAGCTAAGGCAGACTTGCTAGTATTTTATTCGGGACTTTTATATCAATGTTTATAGTAGAGATCAACCTACATCAGAGCTGCAAACTGGTGACATGGACTTGTTTCTTTGACCAGCCCAGAATCTGATTTGGATTTCCTCATGACGGGGAACACACTCTCCAGTTCCTGTAGCTGCCATTTCCCCATTTTATGCCCAATTGACTTCATCCTTTTATAATACTTTTCTGGCTCTTGTAGACACTTGTGTTTGCAAATCCTGGTCTATGATTTCCTTTTTTTTTTTTTTTTTTTTTTGGTAGATTTGAGAATTAGAGTTATACCGTTTTTACAACCCAAATTGAGGCACATTCTTTTTTTCTTCTGTGTTTTGAAATAATTTATAAACAATAGACACCACTGTTCCTTAAACATTAGAAAAGCCTGCCAGCAAAAGCACCTAACCTTGAAGTCCTTTAGGGAGCTAAATTTTGGTAACTTCTATTTTTCTCTTCTCTTGGTTGTTGGTCTATTCAGAATTGCGTGCTTCTTTCTGGGGGTCAATATTGAAATGTATGAATCTTTTTCTGGAGAAGAATTTAAACACTCGACTACATCTCTCTGTTTTTCTTTCTCAGTTATTTTGTTTATATTGTATGTCAACAGTATGAATTGTTTCCAAAACAAAAAGGTCAGATCTTGTGTATTTTTCTATTCAGCCTGCTGAGAGCCCTTATGCAGTATTAGCTTTCTCTTTGAGATGTGTTGTATGTGCCCTGACTGGGGATCAAAACCTTGGCATATTGGGATGATGCTCTACCCAACTGAGCTACCTGGCCAGGGCAAAGTTTGACAAGCCCTCATTGCTCCAAATACATAACAAGGAGAGAACAAGTTTTAAAAGACATTAGCAAGACACAAACAGGCTGAAAAACAGGAGAAACATCTCAGTGGACAAGAAAGAGAACTAACTGAAAAGCAGATTGGTGGGTAGGGCCAAAGCCAAGGCCTGTGAGGTAGTGGGAACTAAAATGTTGCACATGGAATAGAGGATGGAGCCAGACTCCCTGGCTGAACCCAGGGCCTGGAATGAGGCCGTCTCCCTTGAGAAAGAAGGCTGGGGAAGAATGGCAACTGACCAGCTCACAGGAGCTATGGCTAAAACTGTGGGCTTAAGGAGGCAGAGAGGAAAGATAGCCTTGCAATCAGGAATTGGGTCGAGTCCTGGCCGGATAGCTCAGTTGGTTAGAGCGTCGTCCTGATACACCAAGGTTGTGGGGTCCATTCCCGTCAGGGCACATACAAGAATCAACCAATGAATGCATAAATAAATAGAACAACAAATCTGTGTGTGTGTGTGTGTGTGTGTGTGTGTGTCTTCCCCTCCCTACC